TTACATAAACCTATTTGGACCAGGAATCAGCCATGCTATAAAAAACACACTGAAGTGTGTTAAGTGATTGGCGCTCGACGTCTGCTAAGCTAAACGACTGCCAGGGCCCATAAGCCTGTCAGAACTACATGTCAGCAAATGAAAAGCCTCACACTGAACATAAACATGAAACTGAGGTGTGTGATACAGCAGTATTCAGATGTTGGATTCTGGTGAAGTCCCCCTTTTAGAAGAGGAGTGGATTTTTCTAAAATCATGCAAAATCCTGATGTATGTTCCCGCTGATGATACCCTTCATCTAGGCCTGCTTATGCTCCACAGCCTCAGTATGTCTCAGGTTGGTGGGCAGTGTGCGCAGGAAGCGTGGAGATTCGGCAGAGCCTGACACTGCTGTTCACCGGAAGATTAGACAGGCCCCTTGCTTCTGGGCCCTGCCGATATAGGTCACCCTTCCCTTGGATGAAACGCATCCAGGACCAGCCCACAGAATGGAACAAAAGACAACTGGATCATGTTGCCCCATTTTAAAGTTTAAAAGTCTTGCGTTTTCGTGGATAATGACGTGCACCTGCTACCTGAGAGATGTACTGTCTTAATTATTAAACACGAGGTGTCAGACTTTTGGTAGGTTCACTTTCGGTTCGCTACGGGGACTGGTACCGCTCTCGCTGCTCTGCCCTTTTTGTGCTCCGAATCTGGCTTGCTGTTCGCTGAGCTCTGACTATGACTGATGTGACATCATCATCACCTTTTGTTTATTTGGTCAATATCCTGGCCCCCCGTTGGCCACCATCGATCTCACCAGCCAATGGGGAATTGAAAGAGAAATAAAGATCAAATCTGAGCTTAGCGATTAGCGGAGTCTGTATAATGGGCCGTTTTCGGATCGACTGTGAGCCCCCGGCTAACACCCTTGCCAGATTAGCTTGACCCTTTTGCACAGAATTACCATCCCTGATTAGCGGTCTGCTTCAGCAGGTCACCAGAAGACCTCCTTTGGACTGGGGCGGGCTTTGGATGAGTTGGGGAACATGCATCTGCATCTTGTGTCACCCTGTCTCTTCCAAATCGCAGTGTCTGTGGGATCGATTCCTCCATTTTTCAGGGAGGATGGTGCCTCCACCCCCCATGGGGTATTGAGGTTCAGCTGCACAGCTCTCTTTGATTAACTGGAAGCTATTGATGCTGGGAACAGGCACCTCAGCTGGCCCCCGGGCTCTGAACAGCGCCCCCCTGGGGAGCAGCGCTGGGCTGCTCCATCTCCCCCACCCCTCGCTGGTCGATTATGCTAACGGCCGCAGTCACTGGAGCTCCAGGTAGATATTGATCCAGGCCTTAGCTTAGGTGTCCTCTTTAAGCCTTGGAAATGCATATGATTTGCTGTCAGACACTGGCATGGGAGTAAAGTTTAGCTTGATCTGCTGCTGGTTTTGACCAGAGAAACATTCTTTTGCAGCTAAACTCTATTTGTAAAATCTACTGCTAAGCATGTCATTCACTCCTGGGATCCGGGCCCACATCCTCCATCCCTTTAGAAAAGGGGTATCAAACTCCAGTCCTGGGGGGCCGGAGCCCTGCACATTTTTGGGTTTCCCCGCATTTAACACGCCTGATTCCACTCCTTGTGCTGAATCATTTGTGGTGGAACAGGGAAAGAACTAAGCTACATAGGGCTCCGGCCCCCAGGACTGGAGTTTGACACCCCTGCTTTAGAAACATTGAGTTGTGCCTGTGAACTGAATGTATGCTTCAGTTTAACATACAAGACTATGGACCTACAATAATAGGACCTGCTTTAGTAAAATGTCAGGTTCGTAAAACACACAAAGACTAAAAACTGGGGATAATGGAACTGTGAAGTGTTACAAAATGGCATCTTGAAATTGTAAAACCTCTTTTAAGCAGTAATTGAAAATTGCTGCAGACTTAGAGCTCCAATGAACCTTGCCATGGCCTGATGTTATCAGCCCTCTCATCCTTACAAAAGTCCTCTCCTTGGTTTGTGTTTGGGTGTGGTGTCTGGCTCAATGGATTAGGATGCTGTGCCTGTGATCAGAAGGTCATGGGTTCGAGTCCCATGGTTAGTAGAGTGTTTTTTTTGTTGAATTTCCTCATTGGTGCTGCTTTCTCAATTGTACTTCACTTTGAATAAAAGCATCTAATGTAATGTTTATGGCCGCTGTCAGTCTCCTGATTTATATTTCCGTCACTCCTTAGCGGCAGTGAGTAACGCAGGCAGGTGGAGGCCGTGTGGCGGGTGGGGATGATGGCAGACCAATGTCCCCTCCCGCCAAGGACAGGTAGCTGGCATGAGGCACTGTGGATGGTCCACTTCGGGATAGGGCCACGTCATCCGTCCCCTCATACTCGCTTCTCACAGTTGGTAACTGTCTCTCTGTTACCCAGGCAACCGGCCTGCTGATACAAACCTTACACAAGCCGTTTGTTGAGCAGTAGCTTTTGGTTCGCTTGTGGTCACAACAGGAAGGAGACTGACAGTCAGGTAGTTTCATGGACTTGGACCTTGGTATGTTTGTTAAAACCATAATGGGTAAGAGAGGCCCCCTTCTCTAGAGAGAGAGCCCTTCACCTGACCAGTTTGACACGCATGGTGTCCCCTTACCATTCTGCAAGAGCTCTGCATATCAGGTGTCTGTCTGTGTGAACCACATCCCACCCCCCCCGCCCTGTCTATCTAAGAGGAAGTAGTGACGGGTAAGCTCAAAGCAATCGCATACAGGAAGCACGGGGGGGTATTTGTGTAAACTTTCAGGCTTGCTCATAGGCAGATGGCTGAGGGAGGCAGAGTGAGAGAGAGAGACAGAGCTATTGAGTCAGAGAGAGAGAGAGAGAGAGAGAGAGAGAGAGAGAGAGGTGGTGCATCCACTCTGCCTGGCTTGCTCTAATTATGAAGCAGGAAGAAGAAGCAGCTTGCATCTGATCAGCCTCTGCAGCCACGGATCCAGCAGCAGGCGAACGGCGGCAGTCTCGCGATTCGCGGTTTATCATCTGCTCTCCCACGCATGCCACTGCTACGACAGTCCCCATGATTGCCCGCCGTGGAGCGTTCTAGCCATCCGGAGAGTCTGCGCTGTGGACCGTTTAAGCCTTCCCAAGATTGCCCGTTGTGGCTCATACCGCCCGGTCTGAGAGAGCCCGTGGTGGTCCTTACGGCTTGGCTCTGCCAGGGGAAGCCCGGACTACGCCTCTGCTAGGCTCAGGAGTGCGGGAGGCTGGGAGCTGCACGCGGTTTGAGAATCCCACCGTTTCTGATGCTCATCACAAACCCTTGATCAGAGTGGTGGCACCTTCCCCTGGTCCTGCTCCCCCCAGCGGTCCTTCCTTATACCCGTGAGGCTGGCTGCTCTGACAGACCTGGCGGAAGACAGGCGATCTGTGTCGGGGGGGGCAACGAGGATTCGGTCTAAATGACCGGGAGCAACAGCATGAGCAGCGGATACTGCAGTCTGGATGAAGACAGCGAGGACATCGCATTTTTCACCGCCAAGACCACCTTCTTCCGGCAAGCGCAGGCAAAACAGGGGCCCAAGGTACAGTGACGTGCAGGGCGACACAAAAGCCACGCGTGTCGACTCGCTCGGGTTTCAACATGCCGCCTGCTTAAATTGAAATTTAGCTGCGCCTGCTTCATTTCTGGAAGGATCCAGTGCGAGCTCAGGAAGCTCAGTGTATTTGTGTGAGGTTGTTACTCTTTGGAATTTTAGGGCTTTTATCAAACTGGTATATGTTTTTTTTACATATATAAATTAATTCTGTTCTGGTTCATGGGGGATGAGAATGGAGAGCGTTACATTCAGATCGATACAGGCAGCCTGTGTACTGCTTCCTCTGACATAAATCTAACTTCTCGTATTTTGGCTTTACCACAGTAAGACGTTTGGCATTCTGGATTTGACACTGTAGTTTGAAAATGGTGGCAGTGATGCCGATGATGATGATGATGATGATGATGGTGACAGTGTTGATGATGAGAGTGATGACGGACATTGACAGTTTGATGTTGACAGTGATGATATTGACAGTGTTGATGATTATGGTGATGATGACAGGGACAGTTACACTGATGGGCAAAAGCTGTAGCGCTGTATCTTCATGGGAAGAGAATTCTTCCCTTAAGCAACTGACACTTAGCGAGCACATGAGATGGATAGGGTTTCTTCAAGTTACTCTACCAGAGCAGAACATACTCTCTTTTTGTGTCTAACACACCCACTGCCCATAAGCATCTGATACTGGTGGCCATGTGAGTAAGAACCAGTGTGTTGAGCATGATGGTGTGCCTGACATGTTCCTCTCCGAGCTCAGAGACGCGTATCGTCTGCCCTATGGAGCCAGGGGGGTCCATCTCCCTGCCCTGACGTTCCCACCTGCACTGCTCGCCGTCTTGTGTGTGGTGACACGCAGTTTCCAGTGGGGCCATTGAGCTTCTGAGTGGGATATCCTTCTTGTGCTCTGCACCGGCCCGGCTCTGTGTTTCGCAAGCGTGCCACATGCGTGTTTGCGTAATACCCCGCTGTTGTCCGGCATTCGGGGGTGATCGCCACCTCGCTTCAGTTCTCGTAGGAGGCGTGAGAGAATTAGTGCTGAGCGAGATGGAGAAGGCTGTTTTAACCCTGCAGTCTCTGCCAGCCCTCCCACAGCCCCCCCCCCCCACCATTGGGCTTTCCCATGCACACATCATTCAAGATGCCTAATCTTCTCCCACCCCCCCAACCCCACTCCACTGCCTTCACATGCAATATAGGAAGGAAACCATGGCTGACTGGGACCGATAGGGTCTGACACTCCCTTACTTTCTCTTCCTTCTGCATTACAGGCAGGTGTGACCCCCCCCCCGACTTGTTTGCGTGGCTTTGTGCGTATGTGCATCTGCCAAATCCTCGTCATTGTTTTGTGATGCACCCCCCACGCGACGCTCTCGCTCCTGTTTCGGAAACACGCCATGTGTTCCATGCCCCGCATATGAATAATTCAGGCCACGCAGCTCACTGTCCCGTGGGCTGGGAGGAGGCTGAGCCAGTTCTGTATGGACGCTTTACCGTTCACAGAAGCGCCTTTCTGGGCCCGCTTGTTATTCCAAAAGACACATCTTTAAACATTCCCCGGGGTAACACTTTGCTAATATCCCAGCAGAGGGCACATTTACAGGATCACATCCCATTACAGGAACATGCAAACGTTTCAGTTTGTAGTGAATAGAAAAATATGCAAATGTCATTCTCTAAAAACTGAAACATCAGAAGTGGCTCACAGGGCAGCATGGAGCCGTGACCTCAAAAACAAAAGAAAAAAAATGTTTTTGGGATCAGCAGGAATGCACACAAGTGTAAAACGGCATAAAATTTTAATTAATGCTGCCACACATTTAATTTGGAATTATTTGGCATAATATATATTCTCTTTTAAGCCAAAGCTCTTCTACGAACTGCTATCAGTTTGGTCTTAGCTGCATACATTCTCTCTATGTGAGAATCACCAGAAGGGGGATCTTGCACCACCACGACTATTCGCACCAGAGTCTTGTGGCTTGGTTTGACCTTCTGCACACCCTTCAAGATGGGCAAATATCAGCCGCCACTATGCCCTTTGTCCCAGGAGATTGTTTTTGAAGTTATAAATGGCTCCAGATTTCATCCTAAAAACTGATTTCTGTGAAAATGGTGAGCCGTTGTGCGGAGGTGGCATGACTGTGCTTCACTGTGCTTCACTTCCCTGGTGTCTTTTTTTCTTTTTCTTTTTTAGCGAGTCTCTCTTGGTTACTGGTAGAGGGGAGCGAGGTAAACAGACAGCAGCGATTGGTTTTTTGGAGGATGTCTGGAGTAGCTCCTTCAGAGCCCTGTCCTGCAGGACATGCCTGGATGGCCTCGGGGTAGTGAGGTGGGGCTCTCGTCCTCCTGCTGGGCTTTACTGGCTGTGACGTGTCGTGGATGGTTTTTCGTGAGACTAGGTGGAACTGGGGGATTTCCAGGTACCAATAAACCCCCACCAGCCCCCTTTACTTCAGTTAACCCAACGGCTGCCCACCTGCGTATGCCAGTTTAGGATACGGGGCTTCACTTACGAGTGCATATGAGTGCAGGTAGCCGCTACATCTGATAGCTTCTGAATTAGTTAGCAACGCTCATCTTACAGGCAGGAGGGTTCAAGATAGAATCTGAGGCAAATGTGCAATGTTCTCCTCCAGCTTTCTTGAGCCATTTTTTACTAGGGGGGGGGGGTGTGCAAGCAGAGTTTATCGATGATAATCTCCTTATAACCTCAGAGATCTTGGTGCCCTATTTTCATGGCTTGTGACTCTTTACCTACACTACACTAAGGCTTCCGTTGTAGACTTACACCTCAGAATATATAACCTCAGGTATATATTATAACATCAGGTTAATAATAAAGGAAACGTTCTCTTCTGCTCTTTCTCACCATCATTTACCAGATGCTATGGAACGAGTGACAGGGCCATTAATACATAGTTACGGCAATGCTGCACACTGACTGGCTGACAGGTGACTGACGTGCGGGGTGCCCATTCAGACCACTGCAGCGCTCAGTCGCCCCGCCTCTCCCCAGAGGTCTCCTGTATCGAGCACACTGAGCTGAGAAAGCCTGTTATGGCATCTCACACACTGCATTTTTATCTCTGTCTGCGCTGCTGTGTCCGTGCTGGGACGTCACCCGAGCTCATCGCCATGGAAACAGCGGGTTCCGGACTGGTGGCGGGGGGTGTCTGCAGGTGACAAGTAAAAAGGGAAGTCTCTTAAGCAGCAGGAGGAAGTGAGTTTCATCCAAGTATTTGTGGGTTCAGTGTGCAGTGATCCAAACAGTGCGGAAAGTGCTTCCTCGTGTAAAAGTAAGGTACCGGGCGGGGCGGCTAGTTATCAGGGATGGATTCTGGGACAGAGCATCTGCACGCCGATGAGGGTAACACAGGCAGGGCAGCCTCACAACCACAGTAACGGGGGCGCATAGCTGCGCATTTCAGATTTATTCCTGTTGCAGGATAACTTTGGGGCTCGTTAGCTAACGAAACGAGGTCATTCGGCAGCCGCTGATCTGAGCCCTGCGAGGCAGGCCTCCCTGCTGTTTGCACAGCTTCCTGTTTCTCCGTCTTTAAAAGTGTGACTCGCACGCTCTCTCGCTACACGTAGGCTTCCAGTAACAGGAAATGAGGCAAAGTGTCCCAGCTTCCGTTCCAGGATTTCAGAGCCTCCACCTTATCTCTTTATCGTTTCAAACCTATTTTTTTTCATGCCAAACGATGGCAGCAGAACTGGACACGTGGTGACTTATGAAGTAAGGTGTCTAAACAAGTTTATCAGGAAGGCTTTTCTCTACCAGAGGGTGCATGTCTCTCCTCCCAGCTGAGTCGCTTCCCCGATCGGGCTGGTGCATTATTTTGCCCTCCCTCCCCCTGCTGGTCATCTGCAGAAAGCTCAAGGGACAGCTGCTCCGTCAGGAAAGGAAAGGCCAGATTCAGTGGCAGGGTGTCACTCGCCGGCAGGTTTGCGTGTGACGGGCTGCCTGATGGTGATTAGGGTTGTGTAATATTCATTTAATATACCCCATGAAAAGAATATTCCATAGTCATAGCTGTGGTCGGCTCATTATTATAAAGTGCCCTCCCAGCATCGCTGTCAAAAATCCCACAACAAATTTGGCAACAAGAATAGCACCATAGACAAAAATAACAGCAGTATCTTACAAATGGATAATCTGTATGTGTCACCACCTTTATGGGAGTTTAAAGATGGATTCAGGAGAAGAGAACCATACTGGAGAACAAATATATGGTAGTTATACTGTAAGAGAATCCCGACATGCTAAAAGCGCTACTGCTCTCCCCACCCGTTTACCTCCCCAGCTAGTCTGTTATGAGTCAGCAGGAAGGTGTACAGACCTGTTAGGAGTGATAGGGCAGCAATGCTCAGCCTGGGCAGCCATTCCATTAGTGTGTCGGGTTGGGCTTCGCTTTTTGAGCTGCACAGTCACAGTGCCTCATCCATTAGCACGTGCAGGTCCCTGAACACGACACCATCCCCACACTGCACACGCTGCTGCCACCTTCCCTTCCCTGCAGGAAGGCAAAGGCCCTGTAAATGGAAGCTGGCCAGCTAGTTGGAGGAAGGAGGATCCAAGGAGAAGAAGAGAAGAAGAAGAGCGGCGGTTCTGCTTTGGCTTCAGACTGAGTGGGGCGAGCGGACGGCTTCTTTTGTTTGCGGATCTTTGGGTCATTAAGGCCTCATTTGGCCAGCCCCAGGACGTGCAGGGCGTAGCAGGCTGCGGCTGTAGGAACACAACACATTTAGCTATTTTACAGCCAGCTCTGTCTCAGTTTAAAGTATATTAATGTTTGGGGTCAAGCAAGGGGCAATAAAATACGACCTGAGCCCTGTAATATGTTGAGACTTTGAGGTACAGCTCCATCTGCAGTCGTCATTATCAGTTAAATGTTTTTAAATGGCGGTCGGCGTTTATTTTCATTAGGACTTTTTTGTTTCCTTTTGAAATCCTGGAATTACCCTTTCATGTAGAGCAGTCCAAGTTCAGGTACAAGAGTAAAATAAACGCAGGCTGTTTGATCAGTGTTAAAGGCCTTGAGTTCGTAAAGGGGTCTGTTTGGTTGCCCAGACGCAGGCAGGATAAGTCAATACCAACTGCATTTGCTGGTGTGGCTCCTGTTAGTAAGTGTTTTGATTTTGTTTTGGAGTTATTTTAGTAAGACACAGAGGGGCTGGACATGAAGGGCTTTTCTCAGAGGCCCCAAAGCATTCTCCACACTGATCAAAAGAGCTGATAGGGCTTCTTGTTCCATGCTGTATCCTCAGTCTTTGTAGGTGGGGCCCAAACGGTGTTTGAAGTTGCCCCCCCCGCCTGTTTGGCCATGGATGCCGAAAGGGGGGCATCTGCTGACAGACAAAGAGGGGGTGAGATCTCTCTGCTTCATCGCAAGTGCTTCCCTGTACAAGTCAGGCCTCCCCTCCCGCCAGACCGGCATCCCCGGAGTGCCAGTCAGACAAACGCCAGCAGGCAGGCCGTGAAGTAGGCCGCAGCCGCGTTTATGCCGAATGCAGTCGCAAGAACAAAGCCAACCTTTTGCATCAACATCAGTTGCAGAAATCAAATGTGTTTATACGATCAATGCCGTTTGTGATGATTGTAGTCAACAGAAGCTCCCAAATATCATAAAGAGTGACCATGAGATTTTTAACAACGCTGTAGTTATACTGTCTGTAAACAAGTGAATAGGCTCAGCAGTTTGAAAGGTATTTTGCATCTGTGGGTCCAGCATTAGAGCTCTTTGCCATGCAGAGTGGTTTGCAAGTGTGATTTTTGCTGCTTCTTGAAGGTACACCACATACAGACATTTCCAATTTCATTCAAAGAACTAATGAGAGCAAAGGGCACATTGATTGCTAACTGATACCCACTAACTTGATCAGTTTCTTCTTTCAAAGGTACCTGATTACAGGCGCACACTACTGAAACCATACAGAAGTAGAGTAGATCAGAGTCCCATGCCTCTTTCCCCAGAGTGCTTATTGCCATGAACTTCATACTTATACATACAAATTTATGCTGAAAATATCCTTCACTCGCCCTCCCCTCCAGCTGCCTCCAAAGAGAAGCTCACTGCCCCATATAACCAAAGCCCTGTCACCTCTTCCACTCGCAGTGCTGGTGATGTGGCTGCATTCACTCACCCCGTACCACAGGATGTCACTGCAGAGGCCGTCCCAGTGGGACACATGTTATGCCCCCGTCCTGCAGTGCGGCAGTGCAGTGTGGCTTATGGCGTCCGTTTGAACCGCAGGAATGTCACCCAGGAAACTGGGCAGAAGTTTACCTGGTTCCCTGAGCTGGGCATGTAGAGGTCATTGCATTGTTCTGCCACAAATGCAGAACTTCTGCTATAAGAGAGGAAGCTTATTTTCTCAAGAGGGAGCAGGAAAAAAAATACAAAGGTGGAAGTAGATGGACTCGAGTCAGGATGGTTACATTTTCGGGGCATTTTTAAAGGAACAGATAACGTGAAAGTCCCATGCTGGCATTTTGACGTTATCCGTGTCTGATGGTTCGGCTTTTCGGTCTCCGTGCTTCGACTTTCACCTGCTTTGTAAAATCTAACTTGCTACTCATTGCATTGCAGTCCCAGTCAATGGCACCTGTACAACCAGACTGTCCAGTGCATCGACTCTGGCCGGTCAGTTTTGGGTTTACCCACTGCCAGGGGTGTTTCTGCCCCTCCCCTATCCGTACTGCCTGTTTGTGGCAGACAGGCCCCCAAACCTCAGGGGTCTCATGTAAAGCTGTCCATCCTCAGCAGCCAGTCCTTCCTAAGAGAAAGTCGAGGAAGCTGATGTCAGCCATGCGTGGCCCTTTACAGATCACTGAGTTGTGCCTCATCAGTAAAACAGTTTGGCATTTTGCAGCGGCTGACTAATTAAAGATGATTTTCCACACATTTAGCATAACTAGCGTGACATTTAACCTTCCTGCTTATTTAGTCACGGTGGCACACATTCTACCCCTCTAAATACCTGCTAAGGGTCACATGAGTATGACAGGAGCTACAGCTTATAATTGTTGCTGTATTCACAGGGCAGATAAGCACTTGTTTTCAGCACTAATACAATGAACAATTTCTTTAACACTGTGGCATTTAAAACCACCATGATCCTGCAGTATCAATGGTAATGGAAAGTGGATCGGTGGATCTTTTATTCAGTGAAATATTCACTTCAGGTCACGACCACCCAGTAGACCTAAAAGGAGCCTGTCACCCCCCCCTTCACCCAGAGGACAGCCGTCACTTTAGACCTGCCTTCGTGGTCTTTTCCACCCTGAAGGTTTGCGAACGCTATCTGATCCTGTAGGAATTTCCTTCCCGAGCTTTTCCCGCGGAAGGTTGGTCTACGTCGCCTGGGATGCTTTTGGCTTCTAAAAATACTCGCTGTCAGATTCCCTGTTGCTAAGGGACACGGAGTGCTCCGGTCCAGTGGACAGCCTCACTCTCGGCTGCACCCTGGAGACGAAACCAGATTGCCGATCCGGTCTTCGGCTCGTTAACAGTATTTGGTGTCAAGCTGTGTTGTTCTCTGTTATTATTATTTTTCTTCTAAAAGAAGCTGTTTCTGTTACTCTCCCACGCCTGAGGGGAGGGCGAAGGAGGGTCATTCTAGAAATCATAACCTCACACCCCCCCACCCCAAACCCTAGCAAGGGATGAAAAAAGCTTCAGTCTCTAGCAGGGACTAGATCAATGGAATGAGTGAGAGTAATGTCATCAACCTTATAAAACCTTGGGCAATTGAGGTGAATCGTTACTGAGTGGGCTTTGGTCTGCTTGTTGGGACACCCATACAGTAACTTCTGGTTAAACCTGTGTCATGTGAAACAGCTAAAGAAATAGTGACAGCCATCAACGGCTGGTTGTTTGCCCTCAGTCCCGCCCTGTTTGGGGAGGGAGATTCCGGGTGTGAAAAAAAAAATACAAAAACAAGGAAGGGGAAGTAAGATCATGGACGGAATGGGGGCAAATGCAAGTCGAGGACAGGAAGAGGAATCTTCTGGAAACGTGGTGGGACTCTAGGGTCTTTCCAGGAAAGCCATCCTAGACCTCCAGTCACTCAATGGATGAGTGTGTTACCTTTCTGCAGAGGATGCTGGTTAGTCATGTGCTCTGTGTATAAGACCAGCAGTTCCTGTGAAAATGGTTTGAGCAGGTTTCTGTGAAATCACACAAAGATTGCTGAAATTGAAGCGCAGCATTGCTGCCCCCTGGAGTCTGAATCAGGAACATCTTAGTCCGACCCCTGATATTTTAAAATTATCATTATTGTCCATATCTGGACAGCAGATGTCCGTGAGGGGTATCAGGCCATGTTATCGGCTGGCTATCCGAGGTGAACGTGGTCCCAGCTCTTCCGTGAGCTATAGTCTTACCTCATACTGTCTACTGTTCAAGTGTCAGACACTCTTTAATATTGATGTATACAAGAACAAATTGTATACTATACACTATAAATTATGGATTATGGGCTCCCACACACACGATTCATGCAGCATTTGATTCAGGTTATGGTTGAGTGTGTGGAGTAGAGATTGTCTTCTAGTAAGTAGGGCAGTAGATTTGTGGGGGCAGTTTAGTCAATTGTCCAAGCAGGATGCCCTAAATGGCAGTATTGACAGGCCTAAGATGTCCTTGTCTGTGGGGTCCCATTGTCCCCGTCATAGGGTAACGTCACTGAGCATCTCTGCCAGCAGGTGGCCGTTCTGCCAGCACTGTCGCGCCGGTACGAGCTGATTGGATTTGCTCTCACCATCCCACCTGTACTTTAAGTGAGGGGCGGCCCTCCTGACGAGGCTGATTAATCCATCCTGGGACACCCCACATAGATAACGCATTTGAACCTGCAACGTCGGTGTCGACACCCACCCCGCCGACCCAGTCCAGTGCACAACCTGCCTGCTCGATGCCCTGCCCTGTGTTCCTGGGTGCAAACTGACTACTTCTCTGCATGTCTCTGCTGCAATGACTGATAGTGCTGAGACTCAGATTATCTCCTTGGAGATCTGTACCTTCAGTGGTCAAAGAGCACTGCCCCTTCCAGGTCCTGTCCTAACCCACTCAGCAACCCCCATGACCTGGTCCCCAATGGCCACAGTGCCTCTTGTCCTTTCCCATTTCCCATTTAAATTTTATATCTTTGTCAAATTGCAGAGTGAAGGGAAAGAAGAGGACCATGAACCAAAGTCACTCTCGGAGATCACAGCCAGGATTGCGGAGTACAACTCCAAGGCAACTGAGAATGGGATGAAGCTGGTAAGATCCCATTTCCATGGCTGTGCCTGCATGGATTGCATCCTCCATAGGGGTGGCTCTGGCTTTGGCTTTTGGATCGGGGCCAACCAGCACCATTTCCGCACAGTCATGGGTTGTGATGTGTTCATCACACTTACCCACTTTATTCTGAATCCACATTTCTTATTGTATGTGCCAATCTCATAATTTAAATGATGCTTCTGTAAGGATGAAGTAGTCACGTACCATTTGGGGTTTAAGTCCTCTCCCACATATCTAGCAATCCCAGTGTGCTCTACTGCAGTCTGGTAACCATTTAGCATTTTTCTCCCCTGCAGAATGAAGATGGTGTTTACACGGGCTTCATCAAGGTCCAGCTGAAGTTACGGCGCCCTGTGACCGTGCCTGGGGGCGGGGCTGACGCCGTGGAAAAGACCTCCTTCTACCTGCCGTCGGACGCTGTCAAGCAGCTGCACATTAGCAGCAGCACCACGGTGGATGAGGTCATCCAGGGCCTGCTGACCAAGTTTATGGTGCTAGACAACCCGCGCAAGTTTGCACTGTACCGCCAGATGCACCGCGATGGCCAGGGTGAGACACTCTTCTCTGCAGTCTGTTCATATAGGTTGTAGTAAAACCAGAGTATGAGTTTAGGGGGTCTTTGTTATTCCACAGTGATTACATGTTGTGTGGCATGGAGGTGGGGTGAGAAGTGCTGCTACCTCAAACCTACAGGATGTGGGGTTCAATCCCTGCCCTTTCTTCAAGCAGAGTTTTCATCTGCTCTCCGGGTCTGCATGTGTTTTCTATGAAACGGCCAAGGACTGAGTGTGTGTGGGTGGGTCCCGCTTCTGGGATCAGATCTCTTTCAGAAGCTGGCCATTTCAGAGCATCCCCTGTACCTTCGGCTGATTGCCGGCCCGGACCCTGAGTGCCTGACCTTTGTCCTGAAGGAGAACGAGACGGTGGAGGTGGAGGTCAGTACGCTTCTTCTGGGGTAGATTCAGCCCGGTGAGAGAGAGCTGTTCTGTCACACGGCCCACTGCAGTGATGGTTAGGGTATTTATAGAGGAATCCTGATTTGGTTGGATTTACTGTCTGAAGAGTGGCTTCAAACATTGTAATTTGACAAAGCAAACTGCCACACTAAGTTGTCTCCTTGATAGCTGTGTACTATCTGCCTCAAATTTACGTCACTCTGGACGAAAGAGCATCTGATAAATAAATGCAATGTAATTATGGGACTCATAAATGTGTTCTCAAAAGACCAATCATAACAAACATCCGTGTTCTCGAAGTGGATAGGTTGTGTACTTTTTGTATACTATATTTGTCAAGACGATTTATGACAATGAGTTATGAGCTGTTCCAAGGCTCATGTGATTATGATGACCAATGAGAATGGCAGAATCAACATGAGGCAGTCGTAGTCAGCGTCCCATTCGAGGAGAGACCCTGAGTGACACCTGTGCCCTGCCCCTCCCTCTCTCTGGCCTACAGTGGCACGCCTTCTCGGTGCCTGAGCTACACAACTTCCTGATGATCCTGGGGAGGGAGGAAGAAGAGCGTGTGCGGCAGGTGCAGAAGAAGTACGGGGAGTACCGGGAGAAGCTTCAGGAGGCGCTGAATGGCAAGCTGGGCTAAGGCCCCCCCCCCTCCCCTGCACACGGCTCCCAGAAAGGCATTGAGGTGACGCTCCACCGTGGAAGAAAAGAGCAGTGGAGCAATCTACTCAGGACACTTTCAGTTGGCCCCTTCCTAGGTCACAGGTTGGGGCACCGATAGAGGAGAAGGAGACAGGATGCCAATGAAGGCATGTCTCCGCAGTTAAAAATGCACACTGGAGTTTGCTTGGAGCTGCAGACCGACATCCCCCCCGTTAGGAATCTGCTGCTCCTGCGACCGGCTCTTGCTGCTGGCTGTACAGCCCACGCCTCCTCCCGACCTGTGCTGCATGGGGGGGCAGCAGCGGGAGCAGGGAAGACAGTGTGCATCTTTAGCCACGTTTCATTCTCAAGAACTTATCCAGGAAAACAAGGCATGAAGTAACTCACAGTGGACCGTCTCTCACCCCCCCCCCAAAAAAAGCTAAGATACGCACCCATTAGCACAACCCGCTTTTTGTCTCACTCTGATGCACTGAAAAAAAAATAACTTCATTAAATCCTAATAGCGACGATATAAGAATGGATGCACTCATTTTACCCTTTGAGATGTTGACGTTTGCCAATTTTTCAGGATGCAGACGGACGTTTGGTCGGAGAGAATGAATTTTGCAGAGTTGTGCATTTTGAATATAATATAAATGTTGCTGTATTTGCATTTTCTGCTTATTGCCCTTGCAGTGTGGCAGCACCGATTGGTGTAAAACGCTGACTGTTCAGGGGTGTTGTAGATAACCTTCAGAACATCTCGCTTCCTCCTGGTGCCCGTCATCTTCACTAAGTGCCAGTGCCTCTCGTTCTCCTAGACATGGTGCCGTGGCCTGATGCAGGCACGTG